ACATACACACACACCACATGAACACGCTCATGCACACCCACCACACCCACACATAAATGTAAAACTGAAAGCAAAATCAAAACCCAGAAAAATGAATTAACAAGGAATAGATTTTGATATCTCAGAGTTTTGTACCATATTAACAAACAAGGTGTGTTATTGTCAATACTATAAAGGACAGTCAACTCCAAGCCTGACCCACAGATTTGATGCTTGTGACTATAGTCATTACATTTTTCCAGATTGGTCACTGCCGTCCTTGTCTGATCCTTACTATGGCAACAGAACCGTGTCCAAAGGAGCTGTGTGCACCTGTGTGCCTGTGCGTGTGCGTGTAACAGGGGTGGCCACTCGGATGCTGCTGGGGAATCAAGTAGCTTACTGGTCTTCTTTTAAGAGTCTAGTGATGCTTTTTATGGTGTACCATTTTTTCTTCTTCTTTTGTAAATTCTCTGTTCAGGTCTTGGACCCATTTTTTAAATGAGTCCTTTCTTTTCTTTCTTTCCTTCCTTCTTTCTTCCTGGATATTAATCCTCTGTCAGATGTATGGCTGGCAAAGATTCTCCCCCATTCTGTACCAGGATAGACATTCATTGGAAATTGCCCTTTGGGGGTGCTCACACGGGTAATGGCTCTAGGAACAGCACTCTGATAGGCTTAGAAAACCAACGTGCAAAGAGCAAAAAGGGACCCAAGAGCTTATAGAGCTTGAGAAGCCGCCTGGACTGGAAGAGGTGACTCCAGTCACAACTGAGATGATGAAGTGTGAGGCTCTAAATGGAGAGGAAACTCAGAGAGCAGGGCCATCAATCACAGTCAACCTTATCTTCTGACAGAGAGGGGCTCCAGCTTCCAGATGTTGCATTAAAACATAATGCTCCCCCTGGGAGTCACATGGCAGGCTTCCCTGCAGCATCGGTTTCACTCAGCTAACTAATTATGAGAAAATGTGACATCGGTATTTCACTTTTTCTACTGGGACAAATCATTCCCAGCAGGAGGGAGAAGTTGTTAGTTTTTTTATTCGGTTTTCTTTTGTCATTAAAAAGAAATTACTTACACAGCAGTAAATAAACTCTTGTTAGACGGAAGGAACTTTTCTCCCCTCTCAATAATTCTGTCAATTTACCTTAATGTTGACAATCATTTCTTTGTTTTCCCAGAAATGTGGTAAAGTTAAAAGAAAAAACAGAAAGATACTTTGGATATTGAATCTGGGTTTAAATTAACTCTCCCACTTAGTAGCTATGTGATATCAAGCCAGATATTTATGGACTTGATTCCCCAGCTACAGAGTTAGGATGATGCATGCATTGTAGGCTGTTACCTAATAACAATGGAACGGGATAATGCAGTTAAAGTGTCCTTGCACAGCTCCGGGTAAGTGCTCAGAACATTTTATCTTCTACTCTCAAAGACATTAATACTGCGTTATGAATATCAAAATAATGTATGTGCCATCCATGCCTAGTGTTGGCAATCTTGTATGACCACTCATCCAATCCTGAACCCACTCTTTACTTGGGGACTACAAGTCAAATTATGTAATGGACATTTTGTTCTTCCTTGGCCTGATATAAAAATAAAGGTTTCCAGTGAAAAATTAATGTTTATAGATAAAGTTAAAAGACTTCTCTCTGTTGGCCACTATAGTTTTAAACTTTTCTTGACTTTCTATTTGTTTGTGTGTTTGTTTGTTTTGACAACAAAACTCACTAAATTTTCTGAGCTGGCCCTCCAATTTTAACTTTCCTGCCCTCCCGAGTAGCTGGGGTTGTGTGCATGAGCCAGCACACTTAACCTCTAAGCTATGTGGAGCTAACATTAACCGAGCTACACTTCCTCTCACACTGCCTGGATAGAAGAACATAACGACTGGGTGCTTGGGCGCCTGTAACAAGCTGGAAGCTTATTTCTGCAGAAGATACACAGGGCAGATATGAAGATACACAGAGCACGTATGAAGATACACAGAGCAGGTATGAAGATACACAGAGCACATATGAAGATACACAGAGCACGTATGAAGATACACAGAGCACGTATGAAGATACACAGAACACGTATGAAGATACACAGAGCATGTATGAAGATACACAGAACAGGTATGAAGATACACAGAGCACGTATGAAGATACACAGAGCAGGTATGAAGATGATACACAGAGCACGTATGAAGATACACAGAGCAGGTATGAAGATACACAGAGCAGGTATGAAGATGATACACAGAGCAGGTATGAAGATGATACACAGAGCAGGTATGAAGATATACAGAGCAGGTATGAAGATGATATACAGAGCACATATGGAGATGATACACAGAGCAGGTATGAAGATACACAGAGCACATATGAAGATACACAGAGCAGGTATGAAGATGATACACAGAGCACGTATGAAGATGACACAGAGCAGGTATGAAGATACACCGAGCACGTATGAAGATACACAGAGCAGGTATGAAGATACACAGAGCACGTATGAAGATACACAGAGCAGGTATGAAGATGACACAGAGCAGGTATGAAGATGACACAGAGCAGGTATGAAGATGATACACAGAGCAGGTATGAAGAACCCCAGTACACGGACAAGCAGAATAAAAGAACAGGAGTGGAATGGCGGCACCCAAGTGATCTCTGAAGCGAACCTGTAAGGATGGGAAACAGCAGAGCTATGGGACTTCCTAAGTCAGATTTCTCTGAGAATGAATTTGTTTCAGAAATAGCCGAAGGGAGCAGTGACTACTGAAGGAAATGGGATGGCTGGTGGAAAAGGAACAAAAGAGAACACTGAGAGGCACAGGCTTTTATATTCTGGTTTCATGATCCATTTGCCAGTGAGCCTCAATTCTTGTAGAGTAAATTGGAAAATCTTGATTCACCTCTCTCACAGATGCATTGCAATGTCTTTCCAGCAGACAAATGCACTCAAGATGTCTTATGATGGCCACCCCAAATATTAATTCATAAAACACATAAAGGTAAGGAAGCACACAGTGTGGAGTAGTATAAAGAAACATGTAAAAATCATAGCAATAAAGAAACATGTGAAAAATAGTTCCCTAAGGATAGTAGATGATGAACAGTTAGGTGGCATAGGTAAATCAGCACACATGCTTAAACTATTTTTAGAAGTTGCTGGAGACAAAGAGGTATAACTATATAATGCATTTTTTTGTATTTGCCAAAATGTAATACTCATCTAATTTGCACAGTAGTTCCTCAACTAATCACATTTAATAGCTGTTAAAATACTCTTACTTCTAAGAGCATGTTATTTGGGCAGGGATCGTCTTTCACAGCTGTGAAGGGCCCTGACATATACCTAGAGATCTCTCCTAACCCCTTAAGAACTTTAATTTAGAACCCTGCCCCTTGAATAGAGGTTGCACTCTTATGGATAGAAAAACAAAAACAGCCAAAGGTTATTAAGGGTAAAAATAGTTCAAAATAGAGGCAAACACACATTTCTAATTTATCATTTGGACATGAAAGCTGAAGGACTTACAAATATACAATCAAAATCCTATTCATACAAGCAACAATCAGCAAAATAACATGCAATAACGGTTTACCATTAGGTGGTTGATTACCTAATTCACACTTAATGGGCCTTGAACAGAATTTTCCCTACAATTTTTTAGAGAACATGACACAACTTTGTTCCAATATTAGGACAGACTTCATAATGTAGCAGCAGGAGGAGACCCCCCTCTCCATTTCCTTATTTAATTCACTTAATAAATACATTTTTTTAAACATTTACTTGCTGTCGGGGACTATATCAAAGAAATTCAGTCTGAAGAGCCAACTAAGGGAAGCTTCAGATGCATGTGTTATGCTTAGGAAAAGTTATGTCACAACAAGTGTACCAGAAAGCTCTCACGAAAGATTTAAAAAAGATGAGCATAAACCATCTACATACAAAAAGAAGTCATTTCCTTCCAGGGAACAGCAAGAATGAAGCAGAAGATGCAAAAAAAAAAGATAAAAATTAAAAATGGGATGATCCAGAAATTAGATGCAGAATCGTACACCTGGAATGCGGGTAATTGACAGGGGAATGGGGGAAAGGTGGAGGATAAAACAATAAGCAGTAGAAGAAGATGAAGATTCTATCCTTAGGCCTCTTAGACCTTGTTTCCAAATACAATAGCAAAAAGCCAACCACGATTTTTGATCTGTCGCATCTTATATGTGAAAGGTGCTATGTATGTATACTCAGTCAATTGGAAAGAGGTAATCTACAGGGGTGGGTTATGTTTATGGGACAATCTTAAAAGTCCAAGAAAGAGAGCCATCAACAAGCCGTAAGCTAATCCTGAATACCGGTGTTTGTGAAACATCGTCCTATGATATGATGAGCTCATTATAGCCACCTGACAAACAATTTGAGAACTGCCGGAATAAGTGAACAAAGGTTAGAGATGACATAATTAGACATCCTGTCCTTTGAGTAAAGTGGCAGTCTCTTAAAAGAAGAAGACTTCACACCGACTAAATAGCAGCTTGCTCACTTGCCGAACCGCTCCATCTCAGATGTACAGCACTCTGCCAGCGGCTGTGCAAAGATGCAGCCTCAAGGTCTGGAAGGGACTTGGGAGATATCTCCTATAGCATATCCTCATTTTAGAGGAGGAAATCAGACTTACAGAAAACACATGCTTACCTAGAAAACATGCAACGTTTGTGATGGCTGGACAGAAACCAGGCAGAAGACATTGACATCACAATGCTTGTCAACCAAAAATGGTTAGAAGGGATTTGAAAATAATACCAGATATCAGACTTGGCTTCTGTGGATCATGTTTTTAAAAGTGTTTGCCAACTGCACACACACACACACACACACACACACACACACACACACACCAAACTACTGTATCAACATCCTAGAGAGACTTCCTTAATAATTTTCTTCTCTGACAGTGAGGTGTTATGACCAGGGACAAATTTTTGAGTGCATAATTTAGTATAAAAATGGCATGTTCTTACCATGATCTTCTGAAGAGACTGGTGACCTAAAAAAGACAATATAAACATGGTAAATATTTGATATATGATAATGATAATAATAAGCACAAATAATTCTACAGAAATTATATAGTTGGGGCTGGAGAGATGGTTCAGTGGTTAAAAGCACTTGATATTCCTGCAGAGGACCCAGGTTTGGTTCCCACCATACACATGGTGACTCACAGCCATCCTTAAACCTAGTTCCAGGTGATCTGAAACCTTGTGGCCTCCATGAGTACCAGGCACATGCATGCTACACATACACAAATGCAGGATAAACATTCAATCACATAAAATAAAAAATAATAAATAAGCCGTAATAAAAAGTCAGTTAAGGAGAAACTCAGTATAGAAGGCAATGTGATTAGTATACTTGATAAAAGATATTCTAGTTAATACAACTTCTATATTATCTGGATTGGTTGAGTATTATGGATTACTATAATGTGAACAGGTTAGGCACGGTTTCACAGGGCTGAAAAAAATTTTAATTAAGTCTGAATTTATCTTGAAAGAATGAGAATTTGTTGAAATATGTTACCAAGTGAAACCTAGGCCAAACAGCTAGAACAAATCCAGGAACACAAATGTGTGCTAAACTTTATGCACATAGGGGCATGCTTAGATATTTTAAAAATGGAACAGAAGTAAAAGAACATGAATGCACAATTATCATTATGTTTGTATACATTTTTCATTGAATTTAATGTTTGCATGAGCATAGGACAGACTTTCTTGTGATGGCCTAACTGATGAGAAATACATGTAGAATTCTTAGAAGCTAAAAGGTAAAAAGAAGAAATCCCATGCTTCCTGTAGATACACTCTCTCCTTTTCTCTTAATAGCTGGTCCATCAGAACCATTAGGGTGGTAACCCATGACAAGGAAGATGATAGCACAAGAAGCAAAGTAACCTAGCATTGATATTCATGAGACATGAGAGAGAGACTTTAAAGGAGATACACATTCAAAGATATAATAGTTGTTAAAGCAATGTTAAACAACTTGAGGATGCAACTGCTTCCCTTGATCTCCTGATGAGCAATTTAACTTTTTATTATGTGAGTACACGGCAATGGTTGCACACACGGTAGTAATGGAAAGAAAATGTAGATATCTGTTAGTGCAAAGTGCTAACCCATTTCATGAGCCTTTTCAAGTAGAATTTTGCACATGAAAGAGAGAGTCCAAAGACTTGATGGGAAAAAATGTGTTTAAGAGACAAATAAACTAGATGAATGATGAGCAGAAACTGACAAATAACTAACCCAAGAAACAGCTAGCCTCCTTTGTTGAAACTGATTTATGTTCCTCTTAAAGTTCCCAGATTTTGTGCAATCCACACATTGGTCTTTGTATGTAATTACCTCCTGGCAATGTAGAAGCACATCAGAATTAGAAAAAATTGGACCTTGCTTCACATTTGTTGAGTTGAATGTATTTCAGTACCAGCAGCCTGGTTCTCAGAATAAGATATATTTTAGGGATCTTCAAACATTATCATAGTACCATTAAATGACCTTGAGAACTGTCTGCATCGCAGTTCTGAGAAAAGGAGCCTTGGAATGAGCATCTTCAAAGCCAAAAGATACCCAAGACATCCAGCAATAAGGATACCAAAATCTGCTTTAGAAGGGAAAAAAATAAGTGGGAAGTACATTGAATAGAAGGTAAAATGAAATTAAAAGGTGATTCTAAAGAACACAGATTGGAAATAAATGCACTAATGAAGTTTCCTGGGAAATGAAAAGTGAGTCAGCAACAAACTAACATCTTCACTTCTGTCTTTTTATGAAAAGGAAGCAAACGCATATTTGCAATTAATTTCTTACAGAGAACGAGAACAAAGAGAAACCCATGCCCATGGTCTCCTGAGTGTCTCAGGTGGGAGCTCTGAAACACAGTCTTTTTCTGCCTTTCTGAAAAACATTTAATACTAAATCTGAAAAAATCCAGATGGCTCCATTAAAATCCCACGGGGATGCATTCTGAGGTATGGCCAGGCAGAGAAGATGAACTATCCATTTCAGAGTGTTTTGCAAGGATTAGTCATGTTGAATTTCTGTGGCTGAATGTCTCCCACACCCCTGGACTTGTGGAATTTGAAGACATATGGAGTATTTCAACCCTCACTTGGCATTTCACCTTTCACTGCAAACATCACTAGACTATACTACAGAGACAAGCACATCATCCATTTAGGCTGGAAATGGGCTTACAAAGTTTCAGAGAACTCAGTCAGGAGAGAAGAAATATCCTGCAATGAGAAGGGTAAGCAGTTATTTTTAAAATAGAGGTTGAATTCCAGGGCTTAATCTTCTTTCTGACAGCTGAACTGACAGTTGAGGCACACAGTAAAACTCTCTATTTATTCTCCCACCATGCCTGACAGATATGGTCCTGAACTTGTTTAATACCCTTCTATGTACACAATCTCAGATCTAGAAGTGACCTTCACAGTGTGAACTATGCCTAGCATTTACTAACTCAAAGATGTAGAATCCCTCTCCCTAATCACTAGCCTTTATTATTATCTACAGTATATATATATATATATATATATATATATATATATGTGTGTGTGTGTGTGTGTTTGTGTTTGTGTGTGTGTGTGTGTGTGTGTGCTATTTTTTAATTGCTTGCTTGGAACTATTTACATTCTTATTTCATTCAAATACAACATATGGAAAAAAATAAGACAAGACCAAGACCAAAATAAGAATTCAAAGACTACACTTAAAATTTATTATTCTATTCTATCAAACTTAAATTGTTATCATTCATTCTGGAGTCTTTTAATTCACATTGATTTAATGAGTGAGTCAAGGTTAATAGTGAGAGAGGTCACGTCCCTAAGAATAAAACAAACTCAAAAGGTCAAAACCATCCTGCCCCAGCTTTAAGGAATTAATAAGAGCTCATTAAGTAAGTGAGAGAAAAATTCTAGACAGAAGCAATCATATATAAAGCAAGCAGAACTGAAATTTCATAGACGTTATCAGAAACATAAATAACTCAGTACTGCTGGAATGCAAAGGAATGATAAAGCCCATGACTCGGGGAGTTAAGGCCATTCCATATGGAGCTCATAAATTTTCAAGTGTCTGGAACTGACTTTCTAAAATAAATACAAACAATGTTTGAAAGTCACACGTTCTGCTTTCTATTTTTGAATGATCTAAAGTGAATAGAGAGAAGATAAACCCAAGTGTTACTGCTACACTTCCATGTCAAGAAGGAAAAATAAGAGTGTCTGTTTTTTATTCTCTTTGAAACCCATGAAAAATAATGAGGGTGGAAACCAATAAAAACATCTTTTAGTAATCTAGATGTTTACAAGCTAAACAACCATATATGAAGAAGAGGTACTAAATACAGTAAAAGCTGGACTACACGTCACAAGAACAGTCATGATTTTAATAAGCTGTAAAGACACAGCTACAATATATACCACAAGGCCAGGGCAGAAAGTCTCGCTCTGAGCTGAGATGCCCTGCTCTTGAGACATTAGATCAAACTCCAAAACAGAGTACTGATTTAAAAAAAAAAGGATCTGAAAATGAACAACCCACAGTTAACCTTCCTACAATTATCTACCCTGAGCCAGAAGTTCTGGGAAGAACTTACCCAGTGAAAATATCATAAGTAATCAAAAAGCCACCATAGCTCCTCAAAAAATCCAAATGTCAGCAGAACACACAAAAAAGATGAGGTCATGAAGTTACGAATGGTTACTCAATCTGCATGACATTCGAAAATGGAAAGAGTGAACAGAGTGGTGAGTTGGGAGGGAAATAGAGCCTTTGAGAATTGCAGAAAGCAATGTATGACCAGGGAATCCATGGGGACTAAAGAGAGCACAGCCTTTGACTAGTAAATCAGAGAGGGAGAGAAGAGCCTATTTGTTGCCATGGTAAAGAGAAGAGTAGCATAAGAGGTAAATAATTTAAAATGTCATAGTATTCTGCCATCTTGCTGATAATTTTTATATTAATTTGTATTTAAATTAATGCACACATAAGGATTCCAGAACAAAAGATGTTTGCATCCTTAGAGCAATTTTTAAAAAAGTAAAAATACATGTTAAAGGAAGTTTTAGGCAGTATCTCTTGATGTCTTGGGGGCGGAGCTTATTCTCCAGAAAAAAGGGGGGCTTCTACAGAAAACTGTGACTATATAAAATTAGCATAAAAAGTGGAGAAGGCACAATATACAGAAAGGCATGTCATGTTAGTGGCAATACAAGTTGAGTTACTTATTAAATACAGTACCAAAGTCATCTTATACATATATTGTAAACACTACTCTAAAATTAATATAAAATCAAAAAAGAGCTCATGAAACAAAGGCAATCTAGAGCAAAATGAACAAAGCTATAGGCATCACAACACCTGACTTTAAAATGCATACTGCTCTTCCTTGACATGGATGCATAAACAAGACTTTGTCAACAGCAATACCAATAGGCATGCTAACACAGAAAGGAGAAACTCTCAGGAGGTCTCATCTTAAAATAAAGAAGTACAGGCAGCTAATAACTGCTTAGAAAAGGAGAATTAGGAGCCTCTTCCATGGATGAGTTCCCTAACTGGTTATCTAGCAAAGTGGTCAGCCCTGAAATCATATACACAAAAACAAAATGAACAAGTTGCACTTATAGATTTGGTCATACATACACATATACATGTAACAATAGTAAAAAAATATAAGAAGAAGCTGTCAATTTGACATGGAGACATGGGACCTGGGAGGTGCTGATTAGGGCTAAGTGAAATAATTTTACTTTAATTTAAATGTAAAAAAATAAATTTATATACATTATATACATTTGCTTACTAAAGATATAGTAAGCAAAACAGCTGGTAATTCCTATATAAACAGACACACAAACATAGAAGTGGAATAGAATAAGAATAAAGATCGTAAGTAAAGATACATAGTTCACCCCACTGACTTGCTACGAAGGAATCAAGACAATCAAATGGAAAAATGACAGTCTTCAGT